TTTTAAGTTTATCAGGATATAAAATACAAAAGAAAATGAAAACAATGGGAAATGGAAAAAGGGAAGGGAAATAGTGTAGGATAAAGGGGGAAAAGAAAGAAAATTGTTAATAAGAAAGACAAAAAAGACTGGGAAGTGGACATCACAATACCTGGAGATGGCAAAAGAGAAAGAATTAGAAAAAAAAACCCCACAACATATAAAGCCCTGCAAATAGAAGTAGAACAGCTGTGGCAAAAGAAAACAAAAGTAGTACCAATAATTGCCTTTGGTGTAATTCCAAAACATCTGGAGCACTATTTGAACAGAACTGGCATTGACAAAAACACCATCAGTCAATTGCAAAAGGCAGCTTCACTTGAAACAGCTTACATCCTGTGACAATACTTTAATATTATTAAACAACAACATGTACCTATCCCAGGTCCTTGGGAAGGTCTCAATAGGTGGATGAAATCAGTCTAAACATCTGGTTGACTGTATGACCAACCATAATTCACTTTTTTAAATGTGGCTGAATCATCAAAATCTGTCTTGTGTTTATTCTCTATGCTGAAACCCTGCATGTTTTCTCCTTGTGGTGAAATTATGCTTACATTTACTGACTGCATTTTCATGTAGTTGTCACATCTTTTTTTCTCCTTAGTACAGCATGAGTTCGTAAATATATTGCTTTTCATAAATATATTGCTTACTTTAGATATCTCACAATTTTACATATTGATTTGCTTCTACTGTTTTATCACTGACTTCACTTCCTTTGGCTGAGTCCTATATATTTTCTCACTGAAAAGCTGTTACATTATTTTCTAGTGAATGTTGCATATGATTTATCAACTCTGAGTAATTGTATTGATAGTTAGAGTCCTAGGTGGATAGTTTAGCATATGCAATCAATGAATTTACAGTATTCTCTCAGCATTCTTCCTTCTTTCTGCTAAATTTTATTTTTTAGCACATGCAAATGTTTAGTTTCCTTAATAAACTTGGCTTACAGTGAGGGAAAAAAGTAATTGATCCTTTGCTGATTTTGTACATTTGCCCACTGACAAAGAAATTATCAGTCTATAATTTTAATGGTAGGTTTATTTTACCAGTGAGAAACAGAATAACGCATTTCAAAAAAGTTATAAATTGATTTGCATTTTAATGAGTGAAATAAATATTTGATCCCCTATCAATCAGCAATATTTCTGGCTCCCAGGTTTATACAAATAACAAGAGGAGATTAGGAGCATTCTCTTAAAGGGAGTACTCCTAATCTCAGCTTGTTACCTGTATAAAAGACACCTGTACACAAAATCAATTAATCAGATTCCAAACTCTCCATCATGGCCAAGACCAAAGAGCTATCCAAGGACAAGGCTGGAATGGTCTACAAGACTATCGCCAAGCAGCTTGATGAGAAAGTGACAACAGTTGGTGTGGTTATTCGCAAATGGAAGAAACACAAAATAACTGTCAATCTCCCTCAGTCTGGGGCTCCATGCAAGATCTCACCTTGTGGAGTTCCAATAATCATGAGAACGGTAAGGAATCAGCCCAGAACTACATGGGAGGATCTTGTCAATGATCTCAAGGCAGCTGGGACCATAGTCACCAAGAAAACAATTGGTAACATACTACACGATGAAGGACTGAAATCCTGCAGCGCCCGCAAGATCCCCCTGCTCAAGAAAGCACATGTACAGGCCTGTCTGAAGTTTGCCAATGAACATCTGAATGATTCAGAGAACTGGGTGAAAGTGTTGTGGTCAGATGAGAGCAAAATCGAGCTCTTTGGCATCAACTCAAATCGCTGTGTTAGGAGGAGCAGGAATACTGCCTGTGACCCAAAGAATACCATCCCCACCATCAAACATGGAGGTGGAAACATTATGCTTGGGGTGTTTTTCTGCTAAGGGGACAGGACAACTTCACTGCATCAAAGGGATGATGAACTGGGCCATGTACCATCAAATCTTGGGTGAGAACCTCCTTCCCTCAGCCAGGGCATTGAAAATGGGTCATGGATGGATATTTCAGCATAGCAATGACCCAAAACCTACAGCCAGGGCAACAAAGGAGTGGCTCAAGAAGAAGCACATTAAGGTCCTGGAGTGGCCTAGCCTGTCTCCAGACCTTAATCCCATAGAACAGTGGTTTTCAACCTTCCTAATGCCGTGACCCATTAATACAGTTCCTCATGTTGTGGTGACCCCCAACCCCCCATCCAGCTGGCCGGGGGGTATAAAAAACTTGACCCAAAAAAGGAAAAAATGGGAAAGTATAGGTAGTCCTCGACTTACAACAATTCACTTAGTGACTGTTTGAAGTTACAACAGCACTGAAAAAGCGAATTATGATCATTTTTCACACTTATGATTGTTGCAGCATCCCCAGGGTCATGTGATTTACATTCGGATGCTTGACAACTGATTCATACTTATGACGTTCACAGTGTCCCAGGGTCACGTGATCAATGGCCAGGGGGCGTGGCCAGCTGATCACTCAGGTTGCAGAGTGCCTGTGGGGGGGGAATCTGTGGGTCTCTGGGATGGGACTGGGGTGAGTGCCTGCCTTCCTTCCCTCCCTTCTCTCCCCTTGTCCCTTCCTTCCTTCTTTTCTTCCTTTCCTTCACCTCCCTTAGTCTCTTCCGCCTTGCCTCCCTCTTTCCCATTGTCCCTTCCTTCTTTCCTTCCTTTCCTTCACCTACTTCTTAGTCTCTTCCTCCTTCCCTCCCTCTTTCCCATTGTCCCTCCCTTCCTTCCTTCCTTCCTTCCTTCCTTCCTTCCTTCCTTCCTTCCTTCCTTCCTTCTTTCCTTCCCTCTTTGTCCCTTCCTTCCTTCCCTCCCTTCCATTGTTCCTTCCTTCCTTCCCTCCCTCATTGTTCCTTACTTCCCTCCCTCTTCATCCTTTCCTTCCTCCCCTCCTCCGTGCCCAGGAAGGGACAAGGGGAGGGGGACAGGCTGCCAGAGGCAGAGGAGAGCTCCGCCCAGCTCACTTGCTCAGCTTCGCCAGAAAACAAGCCACTTGCTAAATTAGCAGAAGCCCCAGGATCAACACCGGGCTACAGCTGATTCACGCTTCTGCTAAATTAGCAAGCTAGCAAAGCTCGAGCAAGTTTGCTGGGCAGGAGTCAAGGAGAGCTGCTACAGCTGACCTGCTTCTTGGCTGCTCTGCAAAAGTGCGGATCAGCTGTAGAGGTTCACCCCCATCCTGGACAAGAGGGAAGGAAGGAAGGAAGGGCGGAAGGGACAAGGTGAAAGAGGGAGGGGACAAAGAGGGAGGCGAAGGAAAGGAAGGAAGGAAGGAAGGAAGGAAGGAAGGAAGGAAGGAAGGAAGGAAGGAAGGAAGGAAGGAAGGGACAAGGGGAGAGAGGGAGGGAAGGAAAGGAAGTTCCAGCCAGGAAAGACTTGCCAGCTCGGCTGCCGAGAAACAGAAGAGCGCAAAGCCAAGGAGAAGAAGGTGGTGGTTTCCTCCCAAAGGGGGCTCTTTTTCTCCACTCCTTCCCTGGGTTTGTGGGGAATTTCTTGTCACCAACACTGGCAGGTGCTGCTTCGAGCCCGCCGTGAGCTTTCTCGCCCCCACTTTTGTGAGGATTGTTGCACCCTTGGGAAGCCGATCATGCTTTGAAGCTTAGGAGAGGAGGAGGAGTCCCTTCCTCCTTCCCTCCCTCTCTCCCTGTCAAGCCCCGGCAAGCTCAACATGAATGGGCGGAGGAGGAGTCGAGGACGGGCGGGATGGCAAAGGAGACTTGCGGCCGTCGCTAGACCTCCCGGCTGACAAGCGCAAGTTCGGGGGTCACCAGCTGATGGGCGCAGGAGTTGGGTGCTGCGGGGCCTCCCCTTTGCTGACCTGCATGCACGAGAAGAAGTCAATCCGGTTGCTGCACAATGAGTCTCTGGGGAGGGCGGGGCCTTGCTCTGCACCTGCACTCTTCAGGGCACATTTGGTAAAGTTCGTGCAGATTGCCGCCAAGCAGCATATTTTCCACAAACAAGTGAGGTGGAGCAGAGGGGGGGGGAGAGAAGGCAGTTGACAAGCCCTGCCTAAGACCATCGGAAATATGTGTTTTCCGATGGTCTTAGGCGACCCCTGTGAAAGGCTCGTGCGACCCCCAAAAGGGTCGCGACCCACAGGTTGAGAATCACTGCCATAGAAAATCTGTGGAGGAAGCTGAAGGTTCGAGCTGCCAAACGTCAGCCTCGAAACCTTAATGACTTGGAGAGGATCTGCAAAGAAGAGTGAGACAAAATCTCCCCTGAGATGTGTGTGAACCCTGTGGCCAACTACAAGAAACATTTGATCTCTGTGATTGCCAACAAGGGTTTTGCCACTAAGTACTAAGTCATGTTTTGCGAAGGGATCAAATACTTATTTCACTCATTAAGATCCAAATCAATTTATAATTTGTTTGAAATGCGTTTTTCTGGATTTTTTGTTGTTGTTGTTCTGTCTCTCACTGTTAAAATAAACCTACCATTAAAATTATAGACTGATCATTTCTTTGTCAGTGGGCAAACGTACAAAATCAGCAGGGGATCAAATACTTTTTTCCCTCACTGTAAATTGGTAATTTGTTTTTCAGATATATCTATGAAACAATTTTTAAAAGAAGTTAGTAAAATTAATTAACTGCAGTATGACTCTTGCTATAAGCTGTCAAAGAAAGCATCAGGTTTTGTTGAGCACTTAGAAAAAAATCATTTTACTTTGAGTCATGTATGGCTGCATGACTTGTAAATCAGGATGTATCCAGATTCAATCCCCTGGAAGGAGGGTAAAAAGGAGATTTTTTTTCAGCAGCACCCATCTTTAAAGTCTCTGTATTTTTGCAATTGAAGTTGAATGAATATCAGTCCTCTTAAAGCATTTCATTTCCTATGTCTAATGGGACTCTCTTGTATTTTTTCTTTTGAAGAAACATTTCTGCTGAAATAGCTAATCTTTTGTTGTTTCTATACCTGTAACTCAAATTAAATTAACTATCATTAAAAAACACTATTCTGGATTTTTAGAGAATTGTGTTCAATCATAATGGTGATGGCGCTTTGCCTCGAAGTGACCCTATTTTGTCTGCCCCTGAGAAAGGTAAGCATCATTTATTTTAACATTCTACCTTATCTTTTTCTAAAGTACAAAAGACAGTTAACAACCAAATGTAAAGCAGTATTTATTCATGTAATAATTTCTATGTTCACCATTAATGCCACAATTGATATTGTATCTCAGATACCAAACATATATTAAGTGATCTCAAATACGCTGAATATATTTCTGATATTTATGTTAATTCTCAAAAGTTTTAACAATTAATATCTATATTGTCATGGTTTAACAGCTGTAAATAGCACTCCCAGTAGTTGGAGCCTGGACAGTGGGAAAGAAGCCAAAAACATATCAGAGAGTGGAAAGCTCATGTTTCCTCCTGTGCCACCCCGTCCCACTGGTATGTTTTGTATTTTTTTAATACAACTATGGTAGCTCTACACACATTGTAACTAACCCTGGATCCTGCTTGGATGTGATTTTGGCTTCCTATTACATACCAGAAGAATACCAGATGATTTTAGAACAGGAACAGGAAACCAACAAGGAGGATTGAGGTACTGTAGAAAGGAAAAAATAATTTTGGAGAAAATACTGCAAGTGGAACAAATATTGAGGAGGACAATTAATGTTTCATGTTGAAACAACAAAACAAGACAAGTTATATTCCTGAATTCTGGAATAAAGAGATGGCACAGCTTTCGGTGTAGAGCTTTGTCTGTAATGGTCCTTAGTTCTGCATGCCCATGAGCAACCTGATAGTTTGGTGTAATGGTTAAGGAACCAGACTAGAAATTGGGAGACTGAGTTCTAGCCTTGCCTTAAGAACAAAGCCAGCTGGGAGACTTTGGTCCAGTCACTCTCTCTTAGCCCTAGGAAGCAAGCAATGTCAAGCCACTTCCGGAAAACTTGTCAATAAAACTGGAGGGACTTGTTGAGATCTGCAATCAAACAGTGAATATGTTAGGGATAGAAACAATCACAACAAAATTCAAGCAGTGTTTAAGTACAATGAATTTAATTATTTCTCAGATTTTCAGTATCTTTCTTTTCTGCCACATTTAAAAATTATAGTTTTGTGATAATTCTGGGAAGCAATTTTGAAAGGATTTGGGAACCCTAGATTGTGCAGTTTTATTTGGAAAATAGTTGATCTGGCATTCATTATAAGTATGTTATTGCTTTGGCTATACTTTTGGCTTTGCCTGTCATGAAAACTGAGGGAAAGATTGAGAGAAGTACTTTGGGATGTTATTGTTTTGTTGTGAATCTCAGCAAGTGAGTACAATTTAATTTTTAATAGGCCTGGGGGTCCAAGCTTCTTTAGAGAAATAAGAAGAAAGACCTTATAATGATTACTTTTCCAATGACACTTTTAAATTTAGTTCTGTTACTAGCTTCTGATCTTCAGGAAAGACATTTTAGTGGTTACCAAATATATGTATTTTAAGTTTTATGATAAGATGGAAATATAACCCCTAATTACTATTTTTCAACCTTCTAAAATATTACAGTACTGAAGTAGTTTCCACAGGTATTTTTTTTTAACTATGTGGTTATTCAAACCAATCTAGCCTTAGCCTAGTCTGATAATTCATTTTATTACCTTATACTATTTCTTACTTGAGATTTATATGACAGAGAAGTGAATAGAGTGAACTTACCTTAACCAAGATTCCCCAATAGAGATATTAACTTTACTGGATACTCTCAGTTCATGTTTACCTTTTTATAAAATTTCTATTATTATAAAATATTTTCAGATTCAGTGCTTCATGCTTATTTTGTCCAGGATATTTTTTTTCTGGTTATCTGTCACTGGTTTAATGGGAAGCTCTATGTTTTCTATTTGAGGTCCATGTTTTTAATCCTGTTGCAATTTTACAATCTACATCTTTATCAACATATTATAAGATGTGTATTTTATAAATCTGAGTGTAAAATGCATATGCATTTTTTTCCTTCCACTCCTCTCTCACACACATTTTTCATTTTGGCTAGGTTGTTCATTTCTATCAAGCCATCACAGCCCTCACTTATTCTAAACTATGTTAATTCGTGTGAAAATGATTTTCTCCACAGCATCACCAGCTCGACACATAACCTCAGTTTCCCTTTCTTCTGCTGGAAGATCTCCATTGAAGGTACTGTTTTGCCTTCAATACATTTAGAAGCAGAACTGCACTGTTTATTTCTCATGATTTACATTGTGGCTGACTTTTCACCTTCAAAACATAATGTGTATTTATGCCTTCCCAGTTTGTGCTCTGTGATGGGACTAAAGAACTAAGCTTTTTAGTCATTTCTGTTCTGATAAACAAGCAGATCACGTAAAGGTCCATAAAAGACAATAGGTTGAATCTTAATCTTAATTTCTCTCACTCTACACTATAATTTAACATAACAGCATATCCAATGGTGGGATTCAGCCGGTTCGCACCACATCAGCAGAACGGGTAACTAATTTTTTGTTGCCCAGGCCCAGAATGGATTTCCGGAAGCGGCATCCACACAGAGAACTGGTTGTTCACGTATCTGAATCCCACCACTGAGCATATCCATGCAATTCCAAGAGCATTCACAATGGATGATTGCTGTTCAAGATATATTAAATCTAAATCCTTTTTGAGCAGTAGGGGTCTTTCAAGTTCTTTGGGATATGATTTCTCTCAACATTCATAGGTTATTGAATTTTGTCTTTCTTTCTTTCTTTCTTTCTTTCTTTCGCTCTCTCTCTCTCTCTTTCTTTCTTTCTTTTCCTTTCTTTCTCTCTCTCTTTCTCTCTTCCCCCCCCCTCTCTTGAAGGCACCACCAATATTGCATAGTTCACTTGTCTACTATATTAGTTTTCTGTGGTCTGATATAATAACACAAATATAGATGGGAGATTGTAATTTAAAAGTAGATACAAACCACAGTAATTCAAGGTTTTATAGTATCAATGAATGAGCACCATTCAGTTTTTGATGTCCAAGCCACAAAACTGTTATGCTATAACAATAAGTATTGTTATAACATGGACAATACTTTTCCCTTTTAGTCCCTTCTTTCTATTTCCAGACTAATTTTTTCTTTTCTAAACGCAGGGTTCTGTACAATCATTTTCACCATCTCCTATGGACTACCATTCGTCAGGGCTCATTTCCAACTCTTCAGTCTTGTCTGGAAGTTACAGTAGTGGCATTTCTTCACTTAGTCGATGTAGCACATCTGAAATATCTGGTTTTGAAAGTCACATCAATGAACATCCAGTTCCTCTTTCTAATTGCAACATTTCCGAAGAGCTAATAAGAAAAGAGAGCAAGACTCCTCCGCCTTATAGTGTTTATGAGCGGACTCTGAGGCGTCCTGTCCCACTACCTCACAGCCTTTCCGTTCCCATTCCTACAGATCCACCAGCGTTACCCCCAAAACCTTTGTTGGTCAGACGAAGCAATTTGGAGAATAGCAGCAAGAGAATGGAACAGGTCCCTCAACCTAAGCCTCTTCCACGAAAAGTCTCTCAATTATAAATAAAAGTCAAAAAGTCATTTTTTGAATGTTTTAAATGAAAAACATATCTAATATAGGCACTTTAATATTTGTCACAAAATTTCTTTCTGGTGATTTTTAAAAACTGCTTAACTTTAAATACTTAATTTTAAGTACTAGCTTAAAAAGCCAGAACCTAGAGAGAATGAGACTGAAAATACTATATTTAGCATAGCATACAGCAAATGTGATTCTACATTTAAATTCAAACCTGGAGCCTAACTGTTCAAACAATATCAAAGCATACTTCCCCTTGACAGCCTCATATTAGCGCAGTGTACTTTCTGATAGAATAAAATTTGGTTTGAAGTTAATGAATCCAATAAAGCTCTTGTGATTTGTGATCACATTGCACTGGAAAAGACTCTATTACAAGGATGTTGTAGCTGAATTTCCAGAAAAAAAATGTTTGGGTTGCTTTCTTTCTACTGTCATGTTACTGCGTCTTATTCAATATTTGTATGTATACTTGTCTCTTAGAGATCTTTTTTCTAGCATTCTGATAATGGTTAGTTTACATACTTGTAGAATTTTCCCCTTCCTATTTTATTTTATTTTAGATAGGTGCAATTTACACTTCCCTGAAGATAATAAACATTAATAATGATTGTATTATAGAAAATGTAACAATATATAAAGTTATTTTTTTAAATAGACATGATTTCAGACACAGAAACTGACTCTGCGGATTATTTTAATGGCCAAAATGAATACATTATTTTAATTGTGAATCAAGAAAAAAACCACTGTCAGACTCAAAAATGAAAACGCTAAAAGCAATTGAGTGCAAGCAAATGTTCAGGAGAATGAGGCTATTTACAAGTAGAATTAATTGAAGCAGCAAATTTTTAAAGACAAGATTCAGACTTTTTTATTATATATAAAATTTCTGAATGGAAGTTCTTCCATTCTATTGCTGTATATTCCACTGCAAAAATGTGGAGTAAATAAGTAATTTAAGGGATAGTGGTTTAGATGGTGGGAAGAGAGAACTGTTTAGGGCACAAACTGAAAATTTGTTGGCAACTAAAAGTAATCCAGATTTCAGCCCCAATCCTGCAAAATGTTTTTTTCTGAAAGTGCTTTTACTCATCTCACATGGAGCCCTAATTGGCATTTTGCTAGAAAGCTCCCGTGTTTTGAAAGCTCACACTTAGTTCTATAATTGTATAAACTAAACATGAAAACAAGTGTAAAGGCAATTTTTCTTTCTTATTTCCCCCTCCCCACCACAAAATTAAATCGTACCATTAAAGTTACCTCCCTGTTTTGTTGGGAAACTTGTGTTGATTTTATCAGTTATCTTATTAATAGCTTAACTGGAACATTATTGACCACTTTATTCCCTCAATGAGAAACCCTCAGCAGGTATATGCTGTTAATGGTAGCTATAGAAGTTTTATATAATAAATGTTCACGTATTTTTGTACATAACTGGTTAATTTTAATAAGAACAATTATGTTTGGGGGAGGAAAGCAAATGGCTGTGTATGCAGTAGGATTGTTATAATTATGCCAAATACTTTATGTAATTGGGGAAACAGGGACATGGAGTAATATTTGTACATATATGTTTTTAACAATAATTCTGCCATATTGATTGTATAACTTTGAATGTCAAAAATAACCTGTTTAGCAAAAGTGTTTACAACTGGAAAAAGGGGATAAAATTTAGGTTTATAGGTGGCTGATTTTGAGGTCTGAGATTTCTGAACTTGCTTGATCATAACATTTTTTGTGTCTGCATAACTATATTTTTGGAATCGTTAATTACATATTTATGCTTTTAAAATATATTGCAATTTAAATAAACTGTCACAAACTGGATAACAGATCTAGTTTGATCCCTTCCTATATTAAATTTAGAATTAAATCAGTGTTTGTTTGGTGCTTCAGCTTAGACTGAATCAGTATTATATTTTGCTTGTCCATTTTTAAAATATGCTTGATAGTAAGCAAAATTTTTACTCATGTGCACAAATTACTGATGTCTCTTAGCAGCAAAACATTTTAATGTAGTTTGTTTACAGATAATGATATTGGTTGTTGAGAAACAGTAAATACAAAATAAAATTGATTCAAATTCATTGTCTAGTTTTATTTTCTGCTGAGTGGTGCATTATAAATCCATTTGTGAGGAAATTAAAATAGACACTTATTTTTGATTAAGCTTCATATATGATTTTAAGAAACAGAGATAAAACCCAAAATCTTTTTTTGTTTCCTCTCTCCAGCACAATTCCATAATTTATCTTATTTATTATCATTTTCATGATACCCTAGTCAAATGAGTCTGAGTGATAAACTCTATCCAAAACTGCAATAAATAACAAGAAAACCACATAAAATCAAGTAGCCTGTTTCTATTGTCACTAAGTGTGAAATAAATGAAAATCCACCAATGTTATGTATTTAGCATCTGAGGACCAGGAGCATTATATGTATCATCAGGGGTACAACTGAGAAGGCCTGCTTCCTCAAATGCACCTTATGTCAGGCTGGGATCTTAAGCAGGGGCTCTGGATAATCCAGCTGCACTGGCTGTATCTTTTGATGTGGTTGGTTACCATGGTATTTAGGAATTTATGTCTGGCACTTTGAATTGAGATCAGAAATCTGTCAGTCAGTACAATACCTGTAAAAATGATTTCATCTCTTAAAGATCCTCTTGCTGTCATTCTGTGAAAGAGGAAGTATCACTTGCATAATTCAATTTGGATGAGAATATTTCAAATACAGAAAAGCATTTGGTTATATAGAACAATGAAATGACAATTCTGGGAAGAAGAAACTCACAGCTAAAGGCTGCGTTAGACTTCTGCGTCACTGCATGTCAGGGAACATACTGTATGTGTTATTTGGAAATGATTGCAAAGTTGTTGCACTTATGCTTCTGCAAATGTTAACATTTAGGGGACATTCAAACAATAAAACAGGAAGTCAAATCAACCAATCTGCAGGCAAGACACATATCTCCACACAATACATAGGTGAGATTTGGGAGGTGTGCATGTCGGCCCATCTGCAACCATCTACACTTGCCCATCAACCCCTTTGCAGTGTAGGTATGTGTTGATGCCTATGCCTACTTACCGAGAAGTCTAAATCAAGCTTAACTTGACAAAAAAAATGTATGTTCTTTCATGGCAATATGCTATCAAGGAACTTGGAACAAGGAAAAAACCATAACATGAATAATGTTAAATTATTTCCTTTCTCTTTCTCTTTCTTCTTAAATAAATAGTAAAATATTTTTTAAAAAATATTTTATGATATGAAAGAAGTGTTATCTTGGGTTATATATTAACAAAATTTGATAACTAGGAAACATAGTATCTAAGTTGGGTGTCAAACTCAATTTCATTGAGGGCTGCATCAGCATTGTGGTTGCCCTCGGGGGGGCGGGGTGTGTGGCCAGGGTGGGTGCGACCTACTGGATGGGTGTGGATGGAGTAGGTGTGGCCTACTGGGTGGGCGTGGCCAGCTCTACATTGTTCACGTCAAGGGTGCCTGTGGGTGCCTGGGCAGGAGGGGGACAGATCTGAGGGTCTCTGGCAGAAGGGGGTGGGACCAGGGCAAGTGTCAAGGTATGGTGCACTGGAGGAGCCTCACTGTTCCTCTCAGGCCATGCGGGGGGAGGTGGACAGTGGTGCAGGCTGCCCGGAGCCCTGGGCAGCAGAGGTCAAATGCCCAGCCTGGCCCTCGAGCACCTGCGGCGCCAAGCCCAGCCCCACTTCCCCAAGGGGTGCACAGCTGCACTTACCTCCTCAAGGCAGCTGCTGTGCTTGCTCTCCTTAGTCAGGTTGTCCATGATGAATACGAGGGCAAAGTCAGAGGGAGGCCCATTCCCTTTCCTTGGGAACCCGGCTTTGTATCCAAAGCTTCCTTAACAATAGGATGAGAGACCCCCAGGATAGGCCAGGAGGAGGGGGCAAGGGGATGGTGAATGGGCAGCAGGGCAGAACTAAGGCAGGACTTCCCTCAGACCCTCCCTCTCCTTCTTTCCTTCCTAAGTACAGAGTGGTGGGAAAATATTTGAGATGAGAGAGGGAGAAAAACAGGCAAGAAATGCAGCTGGGGAGGTGTCACCTGTCGTGAGGAATGAAGAAATGCACCATCACCTGGAAGTAGCCAGCACATGGCCCTCACCTACTTCACAAATCTGGCTTGGTGGGCTCTGGGGGAGGGGATGCCATGAGCAGCGTGAGAGCCAATGTTACCTGCGCAATGCCACCCAGCCCCCAGCCTGCCTGGTTTTGGCAGGCAGCGGGGCGCTCTCCTCACAGCACTGAGAGGCTGAGCCAGATGGTGCAAATCCAAAAAGAAGCACGAGGCCGCCCAGCCTCCACCTGCCTGGTCTCAGCAGGCAGCGGGGTGCTCTCCTCACAGAGCTGAGCCGGGAGGTGTGAAGCTTGCCAGCTTCGCACCTTGCTCCCTGCTGAAACTGGGCAGACTGGGGGCTGGGCAGCATTGCACTTCTCATCAGATTTGCGCCATCCAGCTCAGCTCTTGGCACTGTGAGGAGAGCGCCCCGCTGCCTGCCAAAACTGGGCAGGCTGGGGGCTGGGCGGCCTTGCACTTCTTTTAGGATTCGCACCACCCGGCTCAGCCTCTCGGTGCTGAGGAGAGCGCCCCGTTGCCTGCCGAAACTCCTCCCCCAGAGCCCATCAAGCCGGATATGTGAAGTAGACAAGGGCCATTTGCTGGTCACATCCAAGCGATGGTGCATTTCTTCATTCTTCACAAAGGGTGACACCTCCCCAGCATACACCCAGGGCGTGGGGCTGATGCGGCAGGGGCTGGCTCCTCGCTGTTTCCAGACAGCCTTGTGAAGCTAAGACTGAATGTGTTTCAGCACAGATGGCCACCACAAAATTGTACATTGGCTCCCAGCTGGCCTGGGCCAAGGCCAAGGCAGCGGGGGCCGTTCCCTCACTGTTTCCAAGATGGCTTCGTGGGCCACATGAAACCACTTCATGGGCAACATCTGGCACCCGTGCCTTGTGTTTGACATGTCTGATCTAAGTAAATATTAGACTTATAATAGTATAAAAAGAAGTGGTTTTCAAAATGTTTCAAAGCATTTTGCTTTAAAAAGTTTTTTTTAAATATTTCAAAATATAGCTTTTGAATAATATTTATCCTATGGCTTCATCTTGGGGGCACAAGTATGGATGACCAGTGGCAGTCAACTTATAAATAAAGCCTCTAATTCATTGCTGGTGCTTCTTGAACAATATCAGTTGAATGAACTAAAAACACAATTAAGATAATCAGTGCAGGAGCTATAATTGGTTATGTGCCGTCAAATTTGTTTTGCCTCTTCTCCAGGATGATTTGTGCCCAATCTTGCCCTTAGGTCATCCAACAGTGCACCCAGCATCATTGTAATTGAGTCCATTCACCTTGCTGCTGGTGGCCTTCTGTTTCCTTCCACTTCTCTATGGACTTCTCCAGGGAGTTGGGTGTTCACATAATGTGTGCAGAATAGAATATTTTAATTCTGTACATTTGTGTCTCAAGGTAAAATTCTGGATTGATTGATTGATTCAATGATGATTTTGTTTTCTTGTTCTTCATAGAATACAGTGTCACAGGAAAATCATTGGCAGTGTAAGTACAGACACATAATGGCATCTAAAATTTTAAAATTATGTTCATCTTCTTCCAATCCAGCCTCTCCCAGTTTATATTCAGCATATAGATTGAATAGGAAAGGCGATAATAAATAGAGACTTGTCTCATTTCTTTGCTGATTTGAAGCCAAGCTATTTGCCATATTTCATCTGCACTGTGACTTTATGTCCTATGTATCAGTTTCAGAGGTGAACAATAAAATGTTCTGGGTTCTCATTTTCCAAAGGATATTTCACAGCTTAAAAACATATTGACGGATGATAAATAATAGAAAGCCAGAGTTTCCCTGGGAGCAGCAGCCATTGGGAAGGAATTCTTTGCTACACAGGCTACAGAATCAAGTCCTTTCTTTTATATTACACTTTCCATTATCTTATTAAATCAAGGCAGTATGGTCAATTCTGTTTCAAAATCTGTCTGATTGATGAACTCGTTCAATAAAGAAAAAAGTGGCCCCAGAAGCTGGACTTCCTGTTTCCTTTGTAGCCAAACTAGGACTACATAATAGAAGTTGCACCTAGAAATCAGAGAATGATTCTATAGCAGATTAGCTAGGTCAGTGGTGGCGAACCTTTTAGAGACCGAGTGTCCAAACTGCAACCCAAAACCCACTTATGTATCGCCAGGAGCCAGGTAGACGTGGCCGCTGTGTGGGCATGGCTATAGTGATCATGGCAGATTGGGTGAGCGTGGCCAGGGTGGGCATGGCCAGCTCGATGTTGCTCCTGGGGAGGGATGCCTGTGGGGGCCAGGCAGGGGTAGATCCAGGGGGTCTCTGGCAGGTGGGGCAGTGGGCAGGAGGGTGTCTTGCTCAGCTGATGGCTTGGAGGGAAGGGGCAGCTACACCCCCTCCCAAACGCTGCCATCTCCCCCCTCCAGGCTGGGGCTGGTCAGATCTGCCTGTGGGCAGCGCTGCGCCTGTCCCCAGCCAGCCCTCCTCCTCCATCCTCCTGCAGGCAGGAGGCCGCTTACGAGCTGGGTGGCGCCTCTCCCTGCACGTGTCCTCAGGCAGAGGAGCCAGGAAGCCGCGACTCTCGCTCCCCTCCAGCCTCCATCTGCCTGAGGCCCAAGCTCGGCGCGCCCAGCTGGCCAGCGATGGGCTGGAGAGTGCGGGATGGCGGCAGCCGCCCCGGGACAAGGAGTGGGTGCTCCTGATGTCCGCAGGGGAAGAAGCGGCATGGAGAGTCTATGCCAGTGATAGCGAACCTTTTAGAGACTGAGTGCCCAAACTGCAACCCAAAACCCACTTATGCATTGTCAGGTGCTGGGTGGGTTTGACCCATTGGGTGGGTGTGGCCCATTGGATGGGTGTGGCCACAGTGGTAACAGCAGCCTGGGTGGGACTAAAAGTTCAATCAATCAATTCCAACTTTGCAAGATCTTTTTTTCCCGCGAGAAGTTGAAATTGACTGATTGAACCTTTTTTTTGTACACGATGACGGAGGCCTAA